GCCTGTCCATGTGCCAGGTGCCTGGTGTCATACCCATCAGGCCTGTCCATGTGCCATGCAGTCTCAAGGCTTCTGTGTTTTGCTGAGACACCTCTGAACCTTTAGCCTGTAGGGTTCTGCTCCTCCTGTGTCCATATGCTGATTTCTGCTGCTTTTTGTTGAGTTGTCACACTTGGAACAACCCATAGGTGGATCGTACCATAGCTGTGTCATTAGTTAGGAAACCCCAAAAATAACACAATAGCTAAGTTACACAGACTATTTCGTCTGGGCAATGGATCTCCCATTGGGCCTTGTTCATCAGTAGATTTGTTTCTTAGCCCTCAAGGCCTGCAGAGGTCAGGAAAAGGTCCAAAATATCTTGTGGTGCCAGTAGACCATGAGTTTGATCCATTTACCCTGTTGGTGTTTAGAAAATATTGTGTTTTTGTAAGCTTTTAAGGCCATTCTTCAATACCCATTTGCTATTTTAGACTTCTTTAATTAAGCCGCATGCAACCAAATTGATTACATTAATCAAATCAAGTTATTTATTGTATATCATTCAGGTGTTAACTGGCAGAATTTCAGCCCTTAACCACAAATTGAAATACACTGTGAACTATTCAAGAAATGGTTGATTAGAAATATGGGGGTAGATCTGTTCCTTAATGATTTTGTAAATTGAAAAGTTTTTTTTTTCTCGTCTTTCTATGAGTGCCACAACTTTAAAATTATCACATGCAAATGCTGTCATTTTGTATTTCGTTACAGAAAAATGTATCTGGTAATAGTCACCCATCTTGCAAGGTATGTCTTTTTCCAGGCAGATGCAAGTAGAAACCTAATGCACGGAGTCTGGCATGCTGTGATGTGGTGTTGAAGCATGCATAGTATGCTGGAGAGGTCTTTATTGATATTCAACAGCATGCTTGCATGGGTTTGCATGTGATTTCAGCAACACAGGTGAAAAAACAAGCATTAGAAAACAATATTGCATTTTTAATTTTTATTTTGCCTAAAACCTGCAGAAATCGAATTATTTTGTAGTAAAGGTTACCCTTGAGTAATTCCTCTACAACTGAATAACCAAATGTGAATTGCTAATTGTTAAGCTCAGCTCAATGCCTCAACCCTAGCACTTGTGTACATGGGAGGTGTGCATTTTCATCTATCATTTTTCACTGTGTGATCTACAGCGCTCTTCAGAGAGCTATCATCAGTTGCAGGCATTAGACTTCTCACTTTCAGAGGAGTCTGGCCAGTCACTGTTGTGGAGGAAGCTAAGGATATAATAACAAACTACAGGCCTACATAACCTTAGTGGCACTCAGCCAATTGTGTCACTACCTGGGGAATCCTGGTCACAAACTGGACCCTATGATTCAATTAGTACCTCTGCTGGTTTGGCCAATGAGAAGTCCTGAGATCCTTTGCTAATTTCATATCTTGTCTTTTTTCACATGATAGTCGATATTTTGAATTATGTCTGGTCATTGCTCTTCATGTTATACTGTCTTGGGTAGGTGTGTGTATGTTCTAGAGTTTGTAAGCATCTCACCAAGACTATGTGTTATTACTACTGCTCATGAGGTTAGCTGGTCATTTCTGAATCTACAAGACCATGCTTTCAAAAAACTGCAAATTGGCAGTTCTCATCCACTCAGCTTTCTGTGCCGAGTTCATCGTAGCCCCATGTGGATTGAATAAAACCCATTAATCAAGACAACAGTCCTCTTGGTAGTCTTATATAAAGCCTAAAGGAAAGTGTAGGAAGGCAGCCTCAAGCATGCTTACATCTTCACTATAATGGTAAAAGCTTGCTTCTGTTAAAACATGACAGTTAACACAGTGTTTCAGGAAAAGTATGAGCTCAGAGGTTCTGTCTTGAATTCCCACCTGTATGGCGTGCTCTTAAGAAAAGTGATCTTGCTTTTTCCTGGACAGTTTGGAAAAGTGAAATCTATTAATGGAACTGCAGTGCTTGTCATTGCAAGTTAACAGACTTGAAAGCTGATGGCTGTTACTGTAGACTTCCATGTATGCTGAGCATCAAAAGAAATTTATCACTACGTTTATGTTGGTATGACCACAGAAATATAAATTATAATAATAATAACTAATAATTGCTTACACTTATACAGCACTTTTCTGGACACTCCACTCAACGCTCTGTACTGAAAATGGGGACTCCCCACCACCACCAGTGTGCAGCATCCACCAATATTTGTATATTGATTAAAATGTTTTCAGGCACTTAATCCCCTAATAAGTCAGAGCACTGCCTCGACACAGGCGTTTAACCTATTCTGTGTCAAGCGTGGTCAAATTCAAAATGGAAAAATTCAGGAGAAAAACGAATGCCCTGCTTATCAAGAGAACAGCATCTTTGTGCCATCGGACTATAGGAGGCCAGACTAAGTGACCACAGCTGGGCTCGCTGGCAGTGGAGACCAGTCCTCTTTAGCGATGATTTATGGTTTTGCTTCGGGACTGATGGATGTCTGTGAACATTGTGCAGGTGGGCAGAATGATGCCAGCTGTTGTGAACAACAGACCTGTAGGATAATCTGGACTGGAGTCTCTAGTTGCTCCACTCCACTTGTAGTGACTGTTGGCGATCACCCTGCATGCTGTCACGTTGATCAAGTCCTGGGATCTGACTTCCGGGCAGGACAGCACTCGTGTAACAGTGCTCTTCCTGTGGGTGAGGATGTTGTAACAGTTCTGCTTTGAATGCCCTATTTAGCAGAACTCCACCCCATTGGACAGCTGTGGGATGAGTCACAATAGTGTGCAACATCTAGGGCTCAAACACCAGTGCACAGACTCATATATCCCATATAGCAGCACCTGCAGACTGGTGCCAAACCAGATGTACAGGTCGTAGTGCCTCAAACAGTGTCCACACATCCCACTATCCTGTGACATGTTTGCTTTCAGAGTTGATGTCATATTGATGACAAATGTTAATGCTCTGTTGGTTCAATAAACTCTCACTTTGCCTGTTACTGATAATTTACTGCTAAAAACTGTGAATATGTTGCAGTTAAACATGATATGTGTCTTTTAATGCTCATTGTGTATTAGCCTATATGAAGATTTTAAACTTTTCACAGTGGAAGTGTGCAGCAGTTAATCAGTAGCAGAGCCTGTGAGCAGGGGGTAAGAGGGGGTAAGAGCTTGTACTAATAACCAGAAGTGTACAGGTTCAAGTCCTAGGTGGGGCACTAGGTTTCAGTAACATGTCCTGCTGAATAAATTAATACAAATGTAAATCACTATAGAAAAACAAAACACTTTATTTAGGCTTTTATTGAGATCCCCTGTGTGAGGCTGTAATGCTGTAGCTGACCTGTCTGAAAGTCACCTATCACAACTTGAATAAAAGTCAGGTTACTGCCACACTCTCCCTGCCAGATCTTCCTTGTAAACAGATCTCAGGCTCAGAGGGACTCAGACCATTGAAGAGAAGACTACACAGTAATCTGAAATATCTGCTGAATAATGTGCACAAAGTTTGGCACAAATGTACAATAAGTATGGATATTAAAGTTCAATATAGGATAGGGGTCAATGAAGTCTGGAAGAACATCCATTTCACTAAAAATTCTGTATTTTTCTGGGTTAAATGTGAATCATTTTTTAAATGTTAAATCTTTCAGCATTAAATCTTTTAATCAAACTGAGGTTTGACGTATGAAGTGGAGAAGTTAAAGCCACTCTATAAGGAAATATTTATCCACTCAGCTTAAAGCCACGTCTGTCTGTCTCCTGAGACTAGCTGTAGAGCTGTCACAGTGAGTGTTTCTGGCACTAAGGCTGCAATCTTTCCCCCGATGTCCAAAGGCCATCGCCCTGGTGGCATTTTGGAGTGTTTTCCTGTTATTATTGTTTTTGCACAAGGCCAAACAAGACGCCAGTCTGGTTGGGACATTGTCTCCTGGTTCTCTCATGCCAGGACTCAGCAGAGGCAGTCAGCCCAAGCATGTGACCAAGTGCAGGTCTCCACATCACTTCTAACAGGCTCACCAGCAGGATATATCATTGTCCATCATGACTGACATAAAAGTGATATTCCAGATTAAGGTCTACACAATATCAGATTCATGTCGTATATTCACAAGACAATGCAGCATTATGCCTGAAAAGTTATTCCTGCTTTTTCCTCATATTTCATTTCTGTAATCTTTTTTATTTTCTTCTAGCTGACCAGACAAAAGGACACATCAGAATTCCTTCTGCTGCTGCAGAAGTCATTAGTGACATCATCAGTAGCCTTTTAAGTTTTTAAGGCATTTTGGCAAGTTAATCATTTTAGATATCTGTCTGAACACATATGAACAGAGGAAGGTTTTTTTTGGCGGGTTTAGGAATATATTACAGCGTGTTAAAGAAAACGAGTAACCGCAATGCTTAAGTGCTGTCCGTCGGCGAAGAAGAAACCTTTCAGGCCATGGTTCTTCTTGTGACCCAGATTATTGTAATCCTGTGCGATTAGAGGACGGAAAGCAATTACATTCAGTCTGTCTTTTTTATTTTAGGAGGTGCATTTGAAGAACTCAAGCCGAGGCAACAGGAACTACCGGATGTAGAAGAGCAAAGCCCAGGAGCATGACAAGGAATGGGAGAACGAGGGGTGTGGTCATACATTGGTCATGCCATGCGTACTGTATGTCATAGAAAGGAGGAGCATACGCGCCCTACGAACACAGCAGGCCAATGTAGCTCCTGGGAACTGAGCGCCAGTTATCGGTCTGCGTTTCCTGCACTTTCCCCCTGCCTCCCTGTGTCCCAGATATATTTCAGTTCCGGTTGTGTTCTGGCACACTGACGTGACTGGTGTTGGATAAGCTACGGTTGCTGCAGGTCTGAGCTGGGCGTGACAACCCAGTGTCTTTACTCTTTTGTGTTTGGATCTGGAAAGCTGTTGGGCAGTGGGCCCTAGACTGTCCTGTTGAGCAACAGTCCTAGAATAAAACTTGCTCTATGTATTTCTGGCTTCTCAAAGGTTATATAATGGACATCCCGCAGCAGGTTTCTTTTTATGCAAGAATACAGGGAGGAATAGGGGGTTTACAATGCCAAGCTGTTTATCACATTAGACAGTGACTGGAGACAGCCCCTTCAGAGGGCTATCGAGCAACCTTTGCTTTACACAATGAAAATGTATTTCTCTGTTTAAAAAAAAACGTGGTAGTAACACGGCTTTATGAATTCATCCCCAGATTGTTTCTGAGAATACCAAGTGTATCACAAAATGTAACAAGATGTCAAATGTGTTGAAGGCACATTTAGATGCTTTTGTCATGCAGTGGATATATACAGACATGACTGGTAAACTGACTTCATGTGAGGACCACAGCCTATCTAGAACTGTAATTGAATTTTAACATCCAGCCAGGGGTTCATGGGTTTGTAATAAGCTTAAACTCTGAGCAGCTGAATGCTATGTTTCTTAAATAATGTGAATGAACAAACAATGTGTTGGCACCACCTATGCATCAAACAACCACAGAGTTTTAGGTAAACTTAAGATGTCACACCAGTTATTTTGCTGGCGAAGGAGTTTTCCTTCGAGACAATTTACTGTAACCTCTCATGCTGTACCACAGTCCAAAAGAGTCCATGGACTGTGTTGAAACAAGAGGGGATATGTGAAAACAGAAACAGAATGTCAAGAAAATTGTTTGTGGCCTGTATTACCCCTGCTCTAAAGTTGCTTCCGCACTTTGAAGAAAACTGGGTGCATAATTTCCCCCCAAGTGCTGGAAAAGAACCCTTTAATTTAAATGTCAGATGTGCACTGCGAAAATGTGAAAGAGTGCGTTTCTTCTTGGGTCTCTGCTCACTAGGGCCAGCGGACACCAGAACATTACAGCTGTCTCCCATACTTGCTGTGTACTCGTTGTAGAGATCAAAACCATTTTCCACACCCTTCAATAAAAGACCCAGAAAACTAACCTTATCCCACCAGCAGCATTTAACCCCAATATTGACGACTTACAGGCACACCATTTTGCAGGTAGAAACTGGCTGCATTTCATAGGACGAGACTTCAAAACAAAAGGATTAAAGTTAGCGCTCCAGCACAATGTTGAAGAACGAGGTTTTTACTGTGCCCAGCGGGAGCCAGTCGATTAATGATTGAGTAAACCTGGCCTGCCTCCTTTATTTTGTGCATTTATGGAGGAATCTTAGTGCTCTTTTAGGTATTTCATCCTAAAAAAACAGGCTTTTCCTGGAAAAATATACAAGGCCATCCCACGTATCCTATCATAAAGCATGTATCATTCTGGAAAATGCCAGTGGACAATGTTTTTGCTAATTTCAAAATGCCTGTTCTTTGAACCACAGCTTTGGCTATCGGCTATAGTTTCCAAGTATTGTAGTGTTTGCGCAATCCTCAACATTGATAACAGTTTACCTTTCCCACTTTGGGTCGCACACCACAATGACCATGAGCGAAGCCGTTACTGCAGGCACAAAGTCTCCTCTCCGAAAACATCTCACACCCAGAGTAGCTCTGAAGGCCAGGGGTCAGTGAAACCTGAGCGTGTCGAGGAGAACAGTTGCCAAGCGGTGAAGGTTTTCACAAAAGTGTTCCCAACACATGTAATGTTCGGTAACCTCACACAGACCTTTTCCTTCAGGTAATAAATGCTTTTTGTATCTGTGTATAATCAATCATATTCCATATATGTTATTTTATGCATTGTTCTACTATCATTGTACATGTATAGCAAACCATATTAAGAAATCTTATCCACTGTATAATGGTGCTATTTTGTAGTTTGTTACTTGCAAGGGTTGACTAAACCAGTAAAAAGCAAAACTAACAAGATAGAAGTCTTCCCTTTTGCACAGGCTTATGGCCACAGTTTTTAATAGTTTTTTTATTATTATTATTTGTAAGCTATTTCAATGAGTTAGGAGTGTAAATGAGCAAAAGTATTTGTGTGAAATCTGTGAATGCATGGAAAAAACGTCTCTTGATGTGATCCCAAGTTTCTATTTTTTCTACTGTTTTTTAATTATTCAGTATTAATCCCGATGCCAAATGACTTGATCAAAAGCACTGTGAAACTGTAACCTTCCATTATTGCTAAGGTGTTGAAATTCAGTGTTATCCTGTTTGCCTGTCCTAAAATGTGTACTGCATTATTCATCGATGATGATGTTTCAGCCAGGGCTTTACACTCATGTATGCTGTGCGCAGTATTGAAGTACCGTATTTTAGGAATGACAAGCTCAATATTTCTCAACCTTTCCAGCCATGCTTATTTGCTTATGTAAATACATTTGTGTTCATTTTATCTACGTTCCCAGAATAAAATCATCCCACCTCAGCATCAAATAGCAACCGTACAGTTCTGCCATGAGGTTGGAATTAAGTTAAAACCAAAGAGCGTATTACATTCCAAAATAACAAGGATTAAAAAAAATAGATTGTTAGAAATACTTCACTGCTAGTGTTATCTGTGCTTCCCAAGAGCTCCTCTAATGCAAACAACCTGTCAGCTCTGTATATTAGTGATACATTTGCAAAAGAAGTCCCATTTGCAAAGACAAGCCGGATTCAGATGTGGCCTAGAATCCTCTCATCAGATGCTCTAAAACAAATATGAAAACTCATTGCCCTGTGTCTTTATATTGCTGTGTTTGGCTGATGCCTTTTCCCAAAGTGACTTACAGCTGTGCCTGTTTACACTGCTGGGTATTTTCCTGGAGCTGTTCCAGTGAAGAACCTTGTTCAAGGGTGCAGCAGCAGTGTCTCACCTGGGATTTGAACCAGCAACCTTCTACAAACCCAACCACTGCTTCTCTAAGTTATGTAACATACTACAAACATTATTCATATTTTTCAGCGCCAAGCACATAACTGTCACATGAAGAGGTCCAGTCTCGTACTTCTTCATTTTCGCTAAGCCTTGCAGATGGCTGAATGCTGGAAGAAGAATGGACATGGTTACTGGGATACGTGGTGCCATTGACATGGTTACTGGGATACGTGGTACCATTGACGTGGTTACTGGGATACAGTACCTCCTCTAAGGGGAAATGCCCAAACAGGAAAGTACTTCTCATTTATTGACAGATACCATTTAAGAAATCAATGTAAATCTGTCCAGAAAAATAAATAAAAATTGTCCATTCGTCTGATTTATTTTCCTGTCTCTGTAACAAAACAGCACATGACTCCTGGGGAATATCCTCCATAACTACACATATATAAAACATATAGATGTAGCGGAGTTAGTTCGGACACGGTGACGTCATCGCCCTCCCTGCGCGTAGCAGGGACCTCAGCTGCCTGGGCTGGGGGGGAGGTCTCCTTTAGCTCATAGGGCTGGTTCCCTGCTGCGTTGCGCCGGAGACCCGGGTTCGCACCCCAGGTGTTGTGGGATGAAACGGCGGGCTGGAGGGCATGAGCCCGCGCTGAGCCACGACGGTCACATAGACAGTTAAGTCTTTAGCATGCCTACCCGACATATGGGGATCCAGAGGCCATAGTTCATCCAGCTGATTGTAGCAATGTTATTGTGACACTTTGCAAAAGTGCTCTCAGGCAGGGTAAGGAGCAGTAGTCAAAGTCACTAACTATCTTCTAATAGCTTCTGATTCTGGTTCTCTCTCTCTATCCTCATTCTTCTTGATCTCAATGCTACTTTCGACACTGTTGACCATGACATCTTACTTTCTCGTCTTGAGACTGTGGAGTTTCCGACACTGCTCTCAAATGGTTCTAGTCTTATCTCACTGATCGCTGTCACTTTGTCTCTCTTGGCGGATTTAGGTCTGAAATTGGTCTCGTTAAGTCTGGTGTTCCTCAGGGTTCAATACTGGGTCCCCTACTTTTCAGCATTACATGTTTCCACTTGGTCAACTTTTAAGATCACATAGCCTCAACTATTATTTCTATGCTGATGATACTCAAATATACATCCATGCCAAACCTAACACTGATGTGGCTGTCTCTATTCTATCTAATTGTATCTCTGACCTGGATGACTCAAAATTTCCATAATCTTAACTGTGACAAGACTGAAGTCATACTTATTGGCACCCCCCATCAACTTTGTAAAGCCAATCCTATAACCCTATCTGTAGATGGTTCTGTACTTGAGCTTCAGTCTAAATTGAAAAACCTTGGAGTGATATTCGATTCTGGCTTAACATTCGATTCGTGCAGCATATTGTTAAAACATCTTTCTTTCACCTCAGACATATCTCTAGACTACACCCTATGTTATCACTAACTGTGGCTGAAAAGCTGATCAACACATTTGTCTTCTCCCAAATTGACTACTGTAATGCTCTATTCGCTGGGGTATCTAAATCCACATTGAACAAACTCCAGTATGTACAAAATTCAGCAGCCAGAATCCTGACCAGTCCTAGTGCAAGTGATCACATTACTCCTATCCTGGCGTCCTTGCACTGGCGTCCTGTCATGTTTCTATTGGACTTCAAAATCCTCATGCTCACCTATAAGGCTCTGCATGGCTTGGCACCTCAGTACCTGACTGAGCTATTATCCATCTCACACCTTCATCCCTCTAATTCTGGTCTCCTAACTGTCCCCCAAGCCCGTCTACACTCTGTGGGCGAAGGGGCCTTCTCCTGTTATGCCCCAGAGCTCTGGAACTCTCTGCCCAAGGATATAAGAGAGTCACCTTTCCTAAACTCCTTCAAATGCGGACTCAAAACCTTAGTACCACCATCTACTGTCTCCTCTGCATATTCTCATCATGTTTATCCTATGTATTTTTTATTGTTTATTTTTAATGTTGTTGCTGTTGTCATTCTGTAAAGTGCTTTGAAAATCCACTATTAAAGGCGCTATATAAAATAAAGTTTTTTATTATTATTATTAGCACTGATACTAATATCACTAATCACTGCATGAGCTGATATATTAGCCAGACCCATCTCAGCCAGATGGGTGGAGTCCGGTTGCTGAAGATTTTCATATTGTGCGCCATGTGTGTGTTTTCCATGAAGTACTCGTTCATACAAAAGGGTGACAAAACAAAACCACTAATTATACACCAAGATATCTCTTTAGCATTACATGTAAGGATATGGAAAGAATCATTTAAACTTAATGTAAAAATCATCAATACGGAAATAAGATAAGACAATAGATGATATGGATTTCGGCAAGTTCGATCTTTTTAAGAGAGTTCCTTAAGGAAGAGGTGCACACATTGTATACATTATGATGGGGTTTTTTTTTTCCCCAAAAGAATCTTGATAAAGCTCCTTATAAAAGATGCTCAAATTACAAGTGGTAGGTATTCAGGGAAATGTGTTTGAATTAAGACAAAACAGAGAATACATATAAGGGGTAAATATTCAAATTGTGGAGGTTGGAATTAGGGGAGTAGCACAGGGATCTGTATTACCTCTATACTGTAGTACCACAGGGCCACTCCTATATCATTAATCAAAATCCTGGTTAGTAATCTTGTCACGGCTACAGACAATACTAAAAAGGTAGGTTAGCAAACATTGTAGAAGCGGCAAATGAAAAACAAAACGATTTACTTTGAAGACAAGGGGAATACCTGATTGTAACGAACAGTTCTTTCCGGACCCTATGCGGACGACACAATCCGAAGAAGTGGGGAAACACTAGGAAAACGTCATGCAGGAATACGGGGCTGAAAACAGGGGGGCGTGTCCAAAGTGCGCTGGTGCACGGGGGAGGTGTGGCCGAGGCAAACAATCCAAAAACACAAGAATAAGTCCATAGCCAGGTGATCCATCCAAACTAGGAATTAAAACCATGAACCGGGTCGGAACCGGCGGACAGGGGACGGGGACGGGGACGGGGACGGGGATTCAAACCTTAACGGGACCAGGCGCTTCCAGGTCCGGACTCGCACGGTGTGGAAACCAGATGCAGAGCCAGGATGAACGTCAGCGCCTGGCTTTTAAGGTGGGCTGGGAAAAGGGGTCAGGTGCACAGAATTAAGTCTAAAGTGAAAGGGCTGGAGCACCCTTAAGGAGGGGGGACTATAATCGTGACACTGATACTGATGCAGATGTATGTGCAGAGTATCATGTGCAGGTAGCAAAAACATTTCGTGCTTTGAAAAAGTATTCAGACTCTTACTATGCTCTCCTCTTTCGTAAAATCAGAAAGTTATACATCCACATTTTGATTAACTTAAGATTTTATTCAAACCCTGATTGATCAAAGACTTGAAAGGAATACAGTACAGTAAGTACCAGCAAACATTAAAAAGAAAAACTAAAATATGATTGCAGAAATATTTAGACCTATGATCTCAATATTCAGTGAAAGCGCCTTTGGCAGCAATTACAGCTGCAAGTGTTTTTTGGTTACTCAAAGACATTCGAGTTCTCATTCCTAAACCACTCCAGTGTAGCTTTGGTCTCGTTTTTTGGGTCATTGTCCTGATGAGGGGTGAATTTTTGTCCCACTTTTGGGTCTGAAGCAGTTTTCCTCTAAGATTTGCTCCATCTATGCTCCCATCAGTCTTGACAAGCTTCCCAGTCCCTATTGATGAAGAAGTATAACATAATCTGCCACCACTATACATATGTTGACTGAGTGACGCACTAGGTTGGGTTCAGTAATTTAATTAGATCCTAATGAATGCAATAAAGGGACTAAATACTTGAAAGTACAGTATTAAACCTGACTCACCTAGCAGAGGGAACGGCAGCCCAGCCGTGAGGATAAGGCTGCCCAGACTTGCTCACTATTGCGAGGAATGAGCTGGGGAGCTGCTGCAAGAGTATAGAATGGGAGGCGAGAGGAATACAATTTAAATGTAGGTGAGCAAAAGCGTGCAAGATTAGGGTCTAACCTTCTTCCTGAACTTGTAAATTCGATTTTATAGAAGTAAATTGAGACCAAAAAGTTCTAACATTGTCTTGCTGACCATAAAATTTAGATTCCTTGAAACTAATATGAGATATTTTTGAGATATGAGATTTTTTGTTTTCTGTCCAGCCTCTCAGTTTTGTGGAACAGCCTAATATAGGCAGTGTCTGAGTGTCTTTCATTTCTTAATGGTTGAGGTCACCATATTCAAAGAGATATTAAGGGCCATTTAAAAATGTGTTACGCCCTTCTCCTGATCTACACCTTTCTACAACTTTATTACTGGATTGTATTGAAAGCTCCTTGGTCTTCATGGTGGTATCTTTACTTAAAATCATTATGAAATCACGTGAACCACTTTTATTGTACACAAACAGTGACCCTAACTGTGTGGCTTGTTAAGGTAATTGTGCGTGCTTCAATTAATCTAGGTTGGGCACAGCAAAAGGTTCTTATGCAATCATGACTTTTCCATTTTTCTTTCATATTATTTATCAATTTTTTCTTTCTTGTTTTGCCATGGGAGTGTGCAGTTGGTTTTGTTTAATACATATGTGAAGTAGTAAGATGTAAGTAAGATTAGTACTTCAAAGTGTCATGGCTGTAAGCTTTAAATCAACATAATGTGCAATCTGAATACAGGATTTTGCAAGGCACTGTGAGCTGTAAATACAAAATGTTGACATAATGTATAAAATTCACATTTTCTAGGCAATGCAGGTAAGTAAGAAAAAATGTAAACAGTGTTACGATAAAAATCTGAGAATTTAAATCAAGGGCTATTATGTTAAAATTGTGCAACACACTAGTATGACTTCAATTAGAATATTGTATACAATTTTGGTCACAGCTTCAAAGAAAAGATTCCTCTGGAATCAGTACAGGGAAGAGCAAAACAGATACATTCTGGGACTTAAGTGATTGTACTACACTGGCAGGCTGAAGAAATGGTGTTGGACAGAGAAGACCACAAGAGGACCTGATACAAGCATTCATAACCCAAACCCAGTCTCAAAGGCTCTGACAAAGTGAACCCTGTGGACATTAGTATCAGTGGCGTCAGAAACTCTAGTGGACTGGAGTACAGAGTATGTACTGCACGTGTAAGTGTCTATGAAGCTGAGGACAGGAGATATTTGTTTACCCATAGGGTTGTGAGAGCCTGGAAACTGCAACACTGAAGCTGATATTCAGTCTTCTTTCGAGCAAGAGCTGGATTCGATTCTCAGATCAATTATTTTGAATCTATTAAAATGCTACCTTTTTGTGACTACACACAGTTAACCACCTACAACTGTAGATA